ATCTGCTGAATGGGTGTAGTAATGGCCTGGGGATCTGCTGTACAGAGCTATTAGTGAGCTGGGGATCTTCTGAACAGAGCTATTAATGAGCTGGGGATCTGCTGAATGAGGGTACTAACGGGCTGGGGATCTGCTGAACAGAAATATTAATGAGCTGTGGATCTGCTGAACGGGGGTACTAATGGGCTGGGAATCTGCTGAACAGACGTAATAATGAGCTGAGGATCTGCTGAACAGGGGTATTACTGAGCTGGGTATCTGCTGAACAGAAGTATTATTGAGCTGGGGATCTGCTGAACAGGGGTGAACAACAGCGATTATTGAGCTGGGGATCTGCTGAACAGAGCGATTAATGAGCTGGGTATCTGCTGAACAGCGATTAATGACTGGGTATCTGACCAGAGCTTTTAATGAGCTGGGGATCTGCTGAACGGTGGTACTAATGGGCTGGGGATCTGCTAAACAGAAGTATTAATGAGCTGAAGATCTGATGAACGGGGGTACTACTAAGCTGGGGATCTGCTGAACAGAAGTATTATTGAGCTGGGGATCTGCTGTACAGAGCTTTTAATGAGCTGCGGATCTGCTGAACGGGGGTACTAATGGGCTTGAGATCTGCTGAACAGAAGTAATAATGAGCTGGGGATCTGCTAAACGGGGGTACTGCTGAGCTGGGGATCTGCTGAACAGAAGTATTTTTGAGCTGGGGACCTGCTGAATGGGGGTACTACTGAGCTGGGGATCTGCTGAACAGAAGTATTATTGAGCTGGGGATCTACTAAACAGAGCTAATAATGAGCTGGGGATCTGCTGACCAGAGCTTTTAATGAGCTGCGGATCTGCTGAAAGGGGGTACTAATAGGCTTGAGATCTGCTGAACAGAAGTAGTAATGAGCTGGGGATCTGCTAAACGGGGGTACTACTGAGCTGGGGATCTGCTGAACAGAAGTATTACTGAGCTGGGGATCTGCTGAACAGAAGTATTATTGAGCTGGGATCTGCTGAACGGGGGTACTAATGGGCTGGGGATCTCCTAAACAGAGGTGATAATGAGCTTAGGTTCTTTTTGGTCCCTTTAAAACAAATAAAAAATCAACACAAACAGGGCATTTGCCAAGTTTCAATTAAGCTTCACAGAAGCACCACTAAAGCAACAAAAACACAACAAAAAAGCATGTTGAAGCTGTAGGCGCCTTAATGTGTGTTAAAGTCGAAGCAAAGGAGCCCTAACTGAAATAAATTGATGCTTGTGATCCCGGGACATAGCCCAGGACACAACCACAGTAGCACAGAGGGCCAAGATGCGGGACTGTCCCGGCCAACTGGGGACAGTTGTCACCTATGGTATACACTGCTTTTCATCATAGCAGTCCTTTCATTTCATAAATCCCTACTGCATAAAAAAAAAACGGACACATTTGCTTGCAAACATAAAAAAAAGCTCAATAATTTCCCCGTCCTTTATTACTCGGCCCCTTCTATCTCTTCCCGGAGATGTCCCTCTCCAATGACTGACTCGATCGGCATTAAATATTCGGAATAGTCTGCCATTTTCCTCCCATCATCAGCTTTATGGAGCGTAGACTGTCCGGACATGTATCTATTGTATAGATCATTTCCCCGACAATGGGCAGCGCGACTTTCCATAAGCGTAATGACTTGTATACTCCGCTTGGGCCGCGAGCGCCTTCTGGCCGCAACCGTGACTGCTTAGCGAAGCCGGCGCCGCAATTACAGCAACAAATGGATCGCGGCTGGGCAAGGAAACACCGTTTTTCCTGGACGTCGTCGCATTCTCCGTCCGGAGCCTTCCATTAATTGTTGCTCAGAGCCACGCGGATTGCGGTTCTGTTTTCACGGCTGTCTACGCCGCGGCTAATTAGCGATGACGTCTTGCTGAGTCTTCAATTGCCTCCGAATTAACAACTAATGAGTTTGTCCCGACCCGCGGAGAAGATCACCTCCAGGGTGCCCAATCCGTGACGAGGAGCCGGCTACACGCTCGATACAAAATCAATAATGATAATTTCTATGATATAAAGCCTTGCCAGCCCCGCTATTGATCCCCCGCGTGCCAACTTTCATCTGCCTTCAAAGACGCGGCGTGTTGACATTTATCGCGTGTGACGCCAGAGCCGGGGAGGGGGGCGGACGCGGAGGCACGTAACGGCGGAGATGACACGCTCTGCAGGGTGCAACTCATCCCGAGAATCCAATACAAATTCTAAGAGGTCGTTCGTACAGGTCGGCAAAATCACGTACTAAAGTTTTCTCGTTTTTATTTGCCAGTTTATAAACGATTCCCAGAGAGAGGCGGGATAACAAAATGCAGAGGAAACTGGCGAGAAGCAAAAAAAAACCGGAAAGACGATCTACCAGCGAAAAAAAAAATGGCATAGATATTCATCCAGCAAAAGTGCTGGAACAGTCGTTCTGAGCGAAAGGGGCAAAATCGAATATTCTCCTTTTAATTCTTTCACAGGTCAAATGGTATTCATTCATAAAAAAGAAAAAAAAAAAAATGGTTTGGGAGAATACAGCATTGTGGCCACTAGATGGAGCTGAGGATCGTACTTATTCACTAAAATGCTCGGCTCCCCCTAGTGGCCATATAGACTTGTGTCTGGCTTTCATGCGACTTTGGCCAATCACAGCAACACAGAGTGCGACACATGTTATCAAACTACAAAACCCTGTGATGTCGCAGCCAAAGTCACACGGAAAAGACAAAGAAATGACTTACATAGGACACACAGAAACGGCTTACATAGGACACACAGAAGTGACTTACATAGGACACACAGAAACGACTTACATAGGACACACAGAAACGGCTTACATAGGACACACAGAAACGGCTTACATAGGACACACAGAAACGGCTTACATAGGACACACAGAAACGACTTACATAGGACACACAGAAATGACTTACATAGGACACACAGAAACTTACATAGGACACACAGAAACGACTTACATAGGACACACAGAAACGACTTACATAGGACACACAGAAACGGCTTACATAGGACACACAGAAACGACTTACATAGGACACACAGAAACGACTTACATAGGACACACAGAAACGACTTACATAGGACACACAGAAATGACTTACATAGGACACACAGAAATGACTTACATAGGACACACAGAAACGACTTACATAGGACACACAGAAACGACTTACATAGGACACACAGAAACGACTTACATAGGACACACAGAAACGACTTACATAGGACACACAGAAACGACTTACATAGGACACACAGAAACGACTTACATAGGACACACAGAAACGACTTACATAGGACACACAGAAACGACTTACATAGGACACACAGAAATGACTTACATAGGACACACAGAAATGACTTACATAGGACACACAGAAACAACTTACATAGGACACACAGAAATGACTTACATAGGACACACAGAAATGACTTACATAGGACACACAGAAATGACTTACATAGGACACACAGAAATGACTTACATAGGACACACAGAAATGACTTACATAGGACACACAGAAATGACTTACATAGGACACACAGAAAACGGCTTACATAGGACACACAGAAACGACTTACATAGGACACACAGAAATGACTTACATAGGACACACAGAAATGACTTACATAGGACACACAGAAACGACTTACATAGGACACACAGAAATGACTTACATAGGACACACAGAAATGACTTACATAGGACACACAGAAATGACTTACATAGGACACACAGAAATGACTTACATAGGACACACAGAAACGACTTACATAGGACACAGAAAACTTACATAGGACACACAGAAATGGCTTACATAGGACACACAGAAATGACTTACATAGGACACACAGAAATGACTTACATAGGACACAGAAATGACTTACATAGGACACACAGAAACGACTTACATAGGACACACAGAAATGACTTCCTTGTGACTTTTGTGATTGTTGACATTCTGAGCGATGGCACGCTGTTATCCGAAGGAAACAAAGGAATTCATTGTTCTTGTTATCATTTATTTCGGATTCGTCTAAAATGCGTTGCTATTGCAATTCGGAGATTCGGATACATCCAGATCTCCGAAGAACGAACATTTTGTCTGAATTTAGACTCATAATGTAACGAATCGCACATGTCTACATCATGGTCCTCCATTCCATCACATCAGAGCCCCCCTCCTCTATCACATCAGAGCCCCCCTCCTCTATCACATCAGAGCCCCCCTCCTCCATTACATCAGAGCTCCTCCTTCATCCCATCAGAGTTCCCACCATCACATTAGATTTCCCACTATCTCATCAGAGTCCTCCCCGCCATCACATCAGCCCCCCCTCCATCACATCAGAGTTCCCCATTCATCACATCAGAGTTCTCCCCTTCATCACATCAGTGCCCCCCCTCCCCTCCATCACATCAGCCCCCCATCGCATCAGAGTTCCTCCTTCATCCCATCAGAGTTCCCACCATCACATTAGAGTTCCCACTATCTCATCAGAGTTCTCCCTTCCATCACATCAGCCCTCACACCCTCCTCTCCATCACATCAGAGTTCCTCCTTCATCACATCAGAGTTTCTCCTTCATCACATCAAAGGTCCCCATATCACATCAGAGTTCCCCCTTCTATCACTTCTCAGCAAGGGCAGACTGACCATTTGAGCTCAGGGTCAGTAGGGGGCCCCATGAAATGCCCCTGGTACCTTTTTATAGGCTTTTTGGGTGTGCTTTGAGTGTGGGCAAGGACACAGGGGCCCCATGATCCCCTATTGCCCGGGGGCCCCATGAGTTGTCACTCCGCCCCTGCTTCACAGTCCTCCTTCCATCACATCAGCGTCCCCCCCCCCATCATATCAGAGTCCCCCCCAATCACATCGCATTCCCTCTCCATCATATCAGAATCCCCCCTATACATGACAGTCACCCATTAAAGAGTCCCCTTTTCCCATTCCAGCCCCACACTATGGCTCTGGGAGCAGGGGTGGACTGACCATTTGGAAACACTGGCACTGCTCGAGGGCCCGGGGTCAGTAGGGGGCCTCATGAGATGCCCCTGGTACCTTTTTCATAGGCTTTTTTGAGTTTAGGCAAGGACACAGGGGCCCCATGATCCCCTATTGCCCGGGGGCCCCATGAGTTGTCAGTCCGCCCCTGTCTGGGAGTATGGCAGAGGTCTGGAGGTGGAGCAGGTCCTGATGGAGGTACACTTCTCTCCTCTTTAGAATGCTAGGGGAGGAGCTCTGGGTCAGTGCCATGCAGGCCAGCTGCCAGCACCATAACAACCAATGACACTGTGCATCCTGTGTCTAGACTGGAGCGTCATTGGTTGTTAGGGTGCTGGCAGCCCTCCCACCCACCCTGTGGCAACCCATTAGATGATGTGAAAATGTGGACCAATCTGCTCCACATATTCGGCGCAATCTCAAACGGCACCCCAGTTGAAGAACGCTGCTATAGAGCGGCGATATAAGTTGCCGGCCGTATGAACGCGTGTTATATCTGCGGCGAGTAGGCGGAACCTCGAGATGTGCTTCACAGAGTCACGCTGACAATCTGCTGGCAGAAGTTTAAATAAAATCTTTCCCTTGTGGCAGTTTATACAAATTCTCAGTGTTAGGAGAACACAATGAAAAAAGTGAAAATCTGTTTTATTCGATGTTTTCAGTCTGTGGCTATTGTACAGGAATGGAAAAAAAAAAAGAAAAACGAAGAGAAAAGATAATGAAAAAAGGAAAGTTTTGGCAGATCCTCCTGCTTTTTCTGTTGGATATAATGCAGAAATATTTTCATGACTCGAGAGACTCGGGAGGATGGACAGTAAACGGTGAAATTAGAGATAATTACCCTTCGCAAAGCAGCTGCGATTCATCTAGGGCTGACAGCGGCTTCTGGAGTGCCGGTGGATGGAGCATGCTGGGATCTGTAGTTCTGCACCAATTTGAAGATTTGTTCTGGAAAGAAGAGTTGGCTGCTTGGGAGCCTTTACTGGGAACTTATGTTGGGACCAGTTCTGTGATGGAGAATAATTATTAGATTGTTGTCTCATCCTGGGAGTTGTAGTCAGTTCTGGAATGATACCCAGACCCAGGGGCGGACTGACTATTTGGACACTCGGGCACTGCCCAGGGCCCGGGGTCAGTAGGGGGCCCCATGAGATGCCGCTGGTACCTTTCATAGGCTATTTTGGGAGTGGTTTGAGTGTGGGCTAGGTCACAAGGGCCCCATGATCCCCTATTGTCCGGGGGCCCCATGGTTGTCAGTCCGCCCCTGGAGCGGACTGACAACTCATGGGGCCCCTGGGCAATAGGGGATCATGGGGCCCCTGTGTCTTTGCCCAAACTCAAAAAAGCCTATGAAAAAGGTACCAGGGGCATCTCATGGGGCCCCCTACTGACCCCGGGCCCTCGGGCAGTGCCAGAGTTTCCAAATGGTCAGTCCGCCCCTGGACCTCCCCTGCCCAGACCCATGGCTCCGCTCCAAACTTGCTCCTTTCATCCAACAGGGTGCTGACTACCACAACCCGTCTCCACTCTCAGCCAAAAGTATCAAAAAATATAAACCTCACCCCAAAACCCAGCTCTTCTTTCTGTATTTAATTTGTCGAAAAATGCAACTGCATACATTGATGTCTCCACCTGAAATCAACTGATGCGTTTCACTCAGGGGCGGACTGACAACTCATGGGGCCCCCGGGCAATAGGGGATCATGGGGCCCCTGTGTCCTTGCCCAAACTCAAAAAAGCCTATGAAAAAGGTACCAGGGGCATCTCATGGGGCCCCCTACTGACCCCGGGCCCTCGGGCAGTACCCGAGTGCTCGAATGGTCAGTCCGCCCCTGGTTTCACTACTGCAATGGTGAAACGCATCAAGGAAGTTGGTTTGGGGTGGAGAGATTCATGTATGTAGTTACATTTTTTGACGATTTGAATACAGAAAGAAGAGCTGAATGTTGAAGTGCGGCTTATACTTTTTTTTTTATACTTTTGATAGAGGATGATTGATGTTTGTGGGCAGGACAGTGGCTAAACGGTTAGCACTTCTGCCTGGCAGTACTAGGTTCGTTGTTTGAATCTCAGCCATGGCATCTCCTGCCTGGAGTTTGCATGTTCTCCCTGTGACTGCGTGGGTTTCCTCTGGGTACTTCCAGTTTCCTCCCACACTCCAAAGACATGCTGGTAGGTTAATTGGATCCTGTCTAAATTGGCCCTTGTATATGAATGTGAGTTAGGGACCTTAGATTGTACGCCCCTTGAGGGTTAGGGACTGATGTGAATGCACAATATATATGTAAAGCTCTGCGTACATTGACGGCGCTATATAAGTACCTGAAATAAATAAATGTTCAATGCAAATACTCCACCTTAGATTGTAACGTGCCACCTTGAGGGTTAGGGACCTTAGATTGTACGCCCCTTCTAGGGTTATATCCTTAGTGATTGTCTATCAGCCCTTGAACATTTGTTAATGTCACTTTCTGTATCCTTCCTTACAGGCCAATAGATTGTAAGCTCTTCTGCCTTCTGTATCCTCCCTAACACTCTATAGATTACAAGTTATATTGCCTTTTGTACTCCTACTTTGTACCATGATAGGGTTAAGCTCTTCTGCCTCTTGTATCCCCCCTTATGGGACCCAATACATTTTAAGCTCCTCTACCTTCTGTATCCTTTCTTATATCGAAATAGATTGTAAGCCCTCTGAGGGTTAGCCCTCTGTAATCCCTGATAACCCAACAGATATGTAAAGCGTGGCTCTTCTAACAGCTTCTGTATCCTCCCTGAAATAACCCAACAGTTCAATGAAAAACTCTCTTCTAACTTCTGTTGTATCCACACTTATATCCTAACGGTTCATTTTTTCACATCCTTGAAAGTTGTCTATCAGTCAACCCAGGACATGTATATACATTTGCTAATGTCACATTTCTGTATCCTTCCCTACAAGCCAATAGATTGTAAGCTCTTCTTCCTTCTGTATCCTCCCTGATATCCTAAACCTCCCAGATTGTAAAAAAGGATTGCAAGCTCTTCTAACTTTCTGTATCCTTCCCTTATATCCAAAATTAATTGCAAGCTCTTCTGCCTTCTGTATCCTTCCCTGTACAACCCAATAGAATTGCAAGCTCTTCTACCTTCTGTATCCTTCCCTGTATAATAAAATGAATTGCAAGCTCTTCTGCCTTCTGTATCCTTCCCTGTATATCAAAATGAATTGCAAGCTCTTCTGCCTTCTGTATCCTTCTTGTATAATAAAATGAATTGCAAGCTCTTCTACCTTCTGTATCCTTCCCTGTATAATAAAATGAATTGCAAGCTCTTCTGCCTTCTGTATCCTTCCCTGTATAATAAAATGAATTGCAAGATCTTCTGCCTTCTGTATCCTTCCCTGTAAACCGTAAAATGAATTGCAAGACTCTTCTGCCTTCTGTATCCTTCCCTGTTGTAGCCTAAAAGATTGCAAGCTCTTCTGCCTTCTGTTTCATCCTTCCCTGTATACTCTAAAAATGAATTGCAAGCTCTTCCTACCTTCTGTATCCTTCCCTGTATAATTGAAAATGAATTGCAAGCTCTTCTACCTTCTGTACCCTCCCTGTATATTAAAATGAATTGTAAGCTCTTCTGCCTTCTGTACCCTTACCTTATATTAAAATGAAGTGCAAGCTCTTCTATTTTCTGTATCCTTCCTTATATCAAAATGAATTGTAAAGCTCTTCTACCTTCTGTATCCTTCCCTTATAACAAAAATGAGATTGCAAGCTCTTCTACCTTCTGTATCCTTCCTTATATTAAAATGAATTGCAAGCTCTTCTACCTTCTGTATCCTTCCCTGTAATAACAAAATTGTAAAGCTCTTCTACCTTTCTGTATTCTTCCCTGTATATCAAAATAGATTGTAAGCTCTTCTGCCTTCTGTATCCTTCCCTTAATAACAAAATAGAATTGCAAGCTCTTCTGCCTTCTGTATCCTCCCTTATAACCCAATAGATTGTAAGCTCTTCTGCCTTCTGTATCCTTCCCTTATAACCCAATAGAATTGTAAGCTCTTCTGCCTTCTGTATCCTCCCTGTATAACCCAATAGATTGTAAGCTCTTCTGCCTTCTGTATCCTCCCTTATATTACCAATAGATTTGTAAGCTCTTCTACCTTTTGTATCCTCCCTTATAACCCAACAGAATTGTAAGCTCTTCTGCCTTCTGTATCCTCCCTTATAACCCAATAGATTGCAAGCTCTTCTACCTTTTGTATCCTCCCCTTATAACCCAATAGATTGTAAGGTCTTCTGCCTTCTGTATCTTCCATTAAACCCTAATAGATTGTAAGCTCTTCTACCATCTGTATCCTCCCTTATATAAAAATAGATTGTAAGCTCTTCTGCCTTTTCTGTCTTCCCTTATAACGAAATAGTAATGAATAGATTGTAAGCTCTCCCGTTTTCAGTATCCAAGCTCATACATTAAGAGATTGTAATCCCTTCCCCCTTTTTTTGCTTTACAATGGTAAATGAAAAGTAAAACAAAGTAAGAATAATTACATAAAAAAGTTCTATTTTTTTCTTCTGTGGCTGGCTGCCTGCAGTTTTACTAAGCTGTCAAATTTAAGTCAATTGTGATCATTTAAGCTGGCGGTACATCCTGGGACTTGTGGTTCCCCAGCAGCTGTATCACTGCCCATTGCTGGAACTGCAAACTCTTTCCAGGCGGTTTAACATGAATCACCGTTTGGCCCAGTGTGCTGCAGCCTCCATCAGACAAATGCGATGTACTTACATGAAGGAAAGGTAATGTGTTATTCATGGATCTCTGCAATAAGCTCGCTGTAGGGGCCCATTTGTGCTCCAGATGTTTGGGGAGAATTCTGGGCCGGGGCCAGCAGAGCGCGTCCTCCGCGAAGAGGTGAGAGACTCTAATGGTGTGAGAGTTGGACAGTAGCGCGGCAATCTTTCTCCGGTATCTTGTTTCCATTATCTGGTTGTTGGGTTTAATCAAATCTTTCCCAGAATAGGAGAAAATTATTATCATACTTTGCGCTGGGCATAAGATGTCCTCTAGCTGCCTGTGAGGGAGCCGGCAGGGCCCCAGAAAGGGTCTGGACACTTCTCCAGTCTATTTAAGTAGCGTCACTAACCAACATTGTGCAGCGAATGGATTTATGCTTGCGTGCGGCTGCGGTCGATTAGATGTGACTTTTCTGAATTTCCTCTTCCCGCGGGTTATGAGAGTTCAGCTAAGGCTACTTCATTCTTTAGGAGGATGACTTGTTTGATTTTGGACAGGTTAATAGAATTTACTGTAAGAGTGGCCCTTGAAGTTATACTCACCACCATTTTGGTTCCAGTCCTCGAAACACAGCTAACTCCACCAGCAGGCTTGCCAAGTGACCAATCAGTCTCAGACCTCATCCACTCGTCGGCAAGTGTAGCTTGGCCTCCCTATAAGGTTGATGCTGTTTCGGCAGCCGCTGTGCAGACAGGGGAGGGAGGTACAAGATGGAACCAAGGTTCCTCAGAAGCCTTCAGTGGAGAAGCTGCCCAATTGGACCCTGCTGACCTGACTGAGGGGGGGGGGAGGTACAAGATGGAACGAAGGATCCTCAGAAGCCTTCAGTGGAGAAGCTGCCCAATTGGACCCTGCTGACCTGACTGAGGGGGGGGGAGGTACAAGATGGAACCAAGGATCCTCAGAAGCCTTCAGTGGAGAAGCTGTCCAATTGGACCCTGCTGCCCTGACTGAGGGGGGAGAGAGGTACAAGATGGAACCAAGGTTCCTCAGAAGACTTCAGTGGAGAAGCTGTCCAATTGGACCCTGCTGCCCTGACTGAGGGGGGAGAGGTACAAGATGGAACCAAGGTTCCTCAGAAGCCTTCAGTGGACAAGCTGCCCATTGGACCCTGCTGCCCTTGACTGAGGGGAGGGAGGCACAATATGGAACCAAGGTTCCTCAGAAGCCTTCAGTGGAGAAGCTGGGACCCTGCTGCCCTGACTGAGGGGAGGGAGGTACAAGATGGAACCAAGGTTCCTCAGAAGCCCTTCAGTGGAGAAGCTGCCCAATTAGACCTTGCTGCCCTGACTGAGGGGAGGGAGGTACAAGATGGAACCAAGGTTCCTCAGAAGCCTTCAGTGGAGAAGCTGCCCAATTGGACCCTGCTGACCTGACTGAGGGGGGGGAGGAGGTACAAGATGGAACCAAGGTCCTCAGAAGCCTTCAGTGGAAAGCTGCCCAATTGGACCCTGCTGCACCTGACTAGTGGGTAGGGGGGAGAGGTACAAGATGGAACAGGTTCCTCAGAAGGGACTTCAGTAGGAGAAGCTGTCCAATTGGACCCTGCTAGCCTTTAGAGATGAGCGAATCGAACTTGGCGAAGTGGAATTCATTTCGAATATTAGGAAAAATTCGATTCGCACCGAATCCGAAAAATAGCAAACTTTGGATGCACGAATCGAATTTTTTTCCCCGATCGGACCGATTTTCATCCCTTTCTACAGCCCTGGCAAGGGGATGGAGACAAGATGGAATTTACAAGGTTCCTCAGAAACAAATAGATACAATGTTTCAGTGGAGAAGCTGTCCAATTGGACCCTGCTGCCCTGACTGAGGGGGGAGAGGTACAAGATGGAACCAAGGTTCTTCTTCATCCTCATCTTCTTCTTCTTCTTCCTCATCCTCTTTCTTCATCCTCATCCTCTTCTTCTTCTTCTTCATCCTCATCCTCTTCTTCTTCTTCATCCTCATCTTCTTCTTCTTCTTGACATCCTCATCCTCTTCTTCTTCTTCTTCCTCATCCTCTTCTTCTTCTTCTTCCTCATCCTCTTCTTCTTCTTCTTCTTCCTCATCCTGTTCTTCTTCTTCTTCCTCCTCAAGATGGAACCAAGGTTCTTCCTCAGAAGCCTTCTTCTTCCTCATCAGTGCTTCCTCATCCTCATCCTCTTCTTCTTCTTCTTTCATCCTGGTCTTCTTTTTCTTCTTCATCCTCATTCTTCATCCTCATCCTCTTCTTCTTCATCCTCATCCTCTTCTTCAATTGAAGCTGCTTCTGCTCCGCCACTGAGGGGACTCTTGGAGACTGCTGCTACAAGATGGAACCAACCTTCGCCACTCTGCTCAGAAGCCTTCATGCTGGAGAAGGGTCCCTCCTCATTGCTGCTGTCTCCATCGCCTCTGCCATGCCCTGAGGTCTGAGGGGAGGGAGGGCCTCCCATTGCAAGATGGAACCAACTCCTCATGCTGCTGCCTCAGTAGCCTCCTCAGTGCTGCCAGAAGCATGTCCAATACGGCCCTCCTGCCCTTGCTGCTGTCTCCATCGCCACACTCTGCCATGTGTCACTTTCAGGTCTCCTCACACAGCCTGGGTTCCATTTTGTCATAGGGTGCTGGCAGATTACATTGTCTGCCATGGGCCCCTGAAGCCTCCTCATGTGCTGGGACTAGGCCCGTAATCTGTCCATGGGCCCCTGTACCGCTGCCTCTGCTGCTGCCAGGACCTCCAAGTCCATCTTTGGTGTGGGTATGTTCTAATAAATAGCACTGGGTCCCCTCCTCGGGTGGCGCACATTCTGTGTAGTGGGTAGTGATTCTAAGATCGACGGCACAGAGTCACCTGACAGTATTATTTCTCTTCCCCAGGGACTCCAAGGGCATTTAAATTAAAGGTACAGTGTTCTCCACTAATATAAAGGCTCTCTGTGAAGGAGAAACCCTTAGTTAGGGACTGTCACTGTGTCTTCGAGCAATTTTTTGAGCCTTCCTCCTCATTCTTCGCTGCCTTCCAGTTGCCTCCTTTGTGGGATAGTGTCAGATGTCTACGGTGTTCAGAGATATCCCTTGCCGTGCCGAGTGTTTCAGTCCACTGAGGCCATGTCTTTTCTTTTACTATCTCAGTATTATCACGTTAATAAACTTTGCATGAACTCATTTCTGTGCAAGTTTTCTTCCCCCATGGGCAGTGAATCTGAGCCCCATACTTACAAAAATGGCCCACCCATTCTTTCCCTCTAATTAAGTTGGGACCACCTTCAGGGGTCCCTGACCTTTGTAAGGAATGCCTTAATGAACTCAAATTAGGGCAATACTATGATCCCGGGACATAGCCCAGGACACAGCATTATCGGGACTGAGGTCCAAGATGCAGGACAGTCCCGGCAAATCCAGGACAGTTGGCATCTATACCGTAGATGGCTGAACAAACAACAATAGATAGAGATATTGTCAGGAGCCGCCGCGGCGGGTGGCCTGGCGCAGGCGCAGTGTGCTGATGCGCACTGGCGTGCGGGCACTAGGTCCTGGGCGGCTGCGGCGACGGCGGAACTCGCGCCTGGCACCAATGACAGTGCAGGGCGCGGTATTTAAATCCACTCTGCACTGACACTGGTTGCCGTATGGTCGTATCTGTTTGTTCCTGCTCCTGCTATCTGTCATTTGTTTGTTGCCGACCCTGATTGATCCTGACCGTGCTGTCTTCTCCTGCCCTGACCCCTGGCTTGCCTGTCCTCTCTCTGGATGCTCCCCATTGGATTTGACCCCCTGTTACTGACCCGGCGAGTGACTCGACTCTTCTGTGCCCGCTGCCTTGTACCACGCTGTCCCCAAAGTTACCGACCCGGACTGTCTGACCAAGCTTCTGCTCAGCCATCCATCCGTCCCGCACGGACCCATCCGCCTCTTCACGTCAGGCTCTTTGCTAGCAGATACCTCTGGCGGAACCCTCTACCACGGATGGGTGTACTCAGGGGCCGCGACCTGGTCTCTGTCTGCTCCAAGTCCATCCCCACCATCAGGGGCCCTGGTGAAAAAGCAGACTGGGACTTAGACTCCGTACTCTGGGGAATCCTATTCCATGGGTTGCTAGAGGTACCGCCAGTCAGTACATTACAGATATGCCTGTAGTGCTCAGCAGTTTTAGTAGAATTCCATTCGGTTCCATCAAGTCCCCATATCAGGTTTTTTATCACTGTCCCCTTGAGGAGATATCACATTTTTGTCCAATAGGAAGTGAGAGGAGATCCCACCAAAGAGAGGGGAAACCCCCTCTTATACAGTTATCCCAACTGGAAGATTTCTTCTCACCTCCTGTGCTGATGACAGCTGTATAAGTTTGGATTAACTATCACTTCCTGTCTCAGTGACATCAGTAGTGATGGGCGATTCTGCCAAGCTTTGATTTGTGGGCCCAAGGGGCAAACCCGTCCAAAAATCTGCAAATTATGAACTTTGGGAATATGAATCCCAATGAAATGAATAGGAAATAGAAACCGGACCTAATGGGCAAAGGATTTTCAAACAAAGGGCATGGGGGGCTGGGGACTGATGGGGGGGGGGGGGGGGGGGGGACTGATTGGGGGGGGCTGGGGACTGATGGGGGGGAGTTTGGTCCTATGCACAATTTTTTTTTTCAAAAACCATTAGGCGGGGAGTAGCTCTTTTAGTGGGAATTAAAAATACACTATCTCCCCCCCCTAAAAAAAACGGTTTGAGGTTCTCCCTAAAAATCCATTCCCGACCCTTCCATCTTTATGCTCATAGTGAAGCTTAGGGAGAAGGATTTGTGCTAGGAGGTGGGATTTGAGGGAGATTAATGCCGGGAAGGGGGATTTGGGGTGAGGGGCTTTGTTCTAGGAAAGGCAATTTTTTTTGCGCAGGGGGGGGGGGGATTTTGTGTTAGGGAGGGAGATTGGGGGGGGGGGGTTTGTGCTATTTTGGATGATTAGGGAGATTTGTGCTGGGGGGATTCGGGGGAGATTCGTACTGCGGTGCAGGATTTGTGCTCATGGGAATATTTGGGGGGGTGGGTTGGGCTAGGAGGGGGCGGGGGCTCAGCGGTGTCCCTCCTAAATGCAGTACAGAAGGACTCTGTACTTTTACGGCTGCACTCTGTCAATGGCTTATCTCTAAGTTGTGGTACGTCCCAGGGCGGACTGACAACTCATGGGGCCCTCGGGCAATAGGGGATCATGGGGCCCCTGTGTCCTTGCCCACACTCAAAGCGCACTCAAAAAAAGCCTATAAAAGGTACCAGGGGGATTTCATGGGGCCCCCTACTGACACCGGGCCCTCGGGCAGTGCCCGAGTGCTCCAATGGTCAGTCCGCCCCTGGTACTTCCATAATGTCTGATTTTCACATGAACACAGTTCCTGCCTGGTCCCGGGCATGGATGAGCACACTCACGTGCAAAAAGTATCCCATATGCAGGGGGAGTGGCCCCGCCCACTAGACATGTGCAGAACGAAAAAAATAGTTTTGTTTCGATTCAGTATTTAATAATTTTGTTTTGTTACTTTATTCATTCTATTCATTTGTTTTTGGAATTCGATACAAATTCAATTCAACCGAATTCGGAAAATTCAAATCGACATTCGAATTTGCATCGGCATTCAAATTTGAATTTATTCTATTCTATATTCGAATTTCGGAAGACGGTTATGTTCTATTTCATTCTATTGTATTGTTTTTTTCTATTCTGTTCTATTTCAATTTATTCTATTTGAAATTCTAATTTTGGAAGACGGTTATATTCTTTCTATTTTATTCTGTTCCAAATCTCCATGTGTACGCAGATGCTTCGTAGGTCTCTGCCGGGCATTGAAAGCCAGGCAGAGACCTTCAGCACATCTGCGCATGCATGGATCTGGTGTATCGTGATTCCCACTTTGGAGAGAAAGCAGGAAGTGCATAAAGTAAAAATAAATGGATGAAAAAAAAATATATATCAAATCGTGGGAGCGAGGGGGCTGGGGCCAAATACAATCAACTCATTTTTTGGTGGTGATGGTCCACTTTAAAGCTGGATATGGCAATAATTACATAGTTTCGTGTTACATTTTCACAACAGGAAGATAAAAAGTATCCAACGCGTTTCAAGGGCCAACAACTGCCCTTCATCAGGGCTTAAAGCAAAAGCTTATATGTGACAATTTTTACATACAACATAGTTACATTAGTTCAGCTTGGCCTAATTTAAGTATGTATGAGCAGTATGTAGGTGGGGTGCAGTGTGGTGCGGTAGCAATTGTTTTTTGTTCTAATCTATTCTTTTCAATTCTATTTTAATCTATTCTATTCAAATTTATTCTATTCAAAATTCAAATTTCAGAAGACAGTTATATTATATCTATTTTATTCTATTCTATTGCTTAGTCTATTCTTTTATATTGAATTCTATTGCATTTTATTCTATTGTTTTTCTCTTCTATCCTATTCTTTTATGTTCCAATCTTTTCTTTGCATATTTGAACGAGATGAGGTGCGGTCCCTGCTTAAAATGATACCAGACCCTTATGTGGGTGGTAAACATGTACAGTTCGTTTCATTCCGAATTGAAATTTGGTCAAATTTTTCATTATTCGGAGATTTGGATGTATCCAAATTTGTGAATTACAATAGTAACAAATCTGAAAAAACTACAAAAGAAGTGGACAAAATTTTAATCCAATTTCATCCAAACTTTATTTTGTTATTTGCTAACACAAATTGCTAATCAGCCAATCACATGGCAGCAACCGGGCGGACTGACAACTCATGGGGCCCCCGGGAAATAGGGGATCATGGGGCCCCTGTGTCCTTGCCCAAACTCAAAAAAACTTATGAAAAAGGTACCAGGGGCATCTCATGGGGCCCCCTACTGACCCTGGGCCCTGGGGCAGTGCCCAAGTTTCCAAATGGTCAGTCTGCCCCTGGCAGCAACTCAACTCAAGTATTTCAAAAGCTGCTGATCTACTGGGATTTTCATACACAACCATTTCTAGGGTTTACAGAAAAAGAGAAAATATCCAATGAGCAGCAGTTGTGTGGATGAAAATGCTTTGTTGATGTCAAAGGTCAGAAGAGAATGGGCAGACTGGTTCGAGATGATAGAAAGACAACAGTAACTCAAATAACCACTCGATACAACCAAGGTATGCAGAATACCATCTCTGAAAGCACAACACGTCGAACCTTGAAGCAGATGGGCTACAGCAGCAGAAGACCACACCGGGTGCCACTCCTGTCAGCTAAGAACAGGAAAATGGAGGCTACAATTCACACAGGCTCACCAAAATTGGATAACAGAAGAATGGAAAAACGTTGCCTGGTCTGATGAGTCTGGATTTCAACTGCGACATTCAGATGGTAGGGTCAGAATTTGGGATCAACAACATGAAAGCAGGGATCCATCCTGCCTTGTATCAATGGTTCAGGCTGGTGGTGGTGGTGTCATGGTGTGGGGGAGATTTTCTTGGCACACTTTGGCCCCTTAGCACCGATTGAGTATCGTTTATACACCACGGCCTACCTGACTATTGTTGCTGACCATGTCCATCTCTTTATGACTCCAGTGTCCCCATCTTCTGATGGCTCCTTCCAACAGGATAATGCCCCATGCCACAAAGCTCAAATCATCTCCAACGGGTTTCTTGAACATTGGCAATGAGGTCACTGGACTCCAATGGCCTCCACAGTCACCAGATCTCCATCCAACAGACCACCTTTGGGATGCGGTGGAACAGGAGATTCGCACCATGGATGTGCAGCCGACAAATCTGCAGCAACTGCGTGATGCTATCATGTCAATATGGACCAAAATCTCTGAGGAATGTTTCCAACACCTTGTTGAATCTATGCCACGAGGAATGAAGGCAGTTCTGAAGACAAAAGGGGGTACAATCCGATACTAGCAAAGTGGACCTAATAAAGTGGCCGGTGAGTGTATTTATGTATAACATAACATTTTGGATGGAGATACACTTTAAATATTATCAAGATAACCGAGATATCATAAATATAAAGCTTTTTCTTCTACATGGGAGGCTGAAAACCTTCTTTTGTCTTTCCCACCATCATTTCAAATTTTCATCTGCTATCGATTTCCATTGCCAAAAGAAAAAATTTTTAAGAATATTGGCCAGTCTGTCTTGAGCAAGAGAAAAACGATGCAACTTACATTACTATAATTGCAACAATTAAATTTTTAGCCAGTGATCATTCCCCTGTGGAGGAACGACGTTTATGAGTTTGGCTAAATTTAGCCCAAGACAAAAACTGATGAAGAGATTACAGGCCAGGTGCAAATGATTTGTGGGTTGCAGAAGTGCTTCCCGTGTCTGCGTGCAAATTTCAGGCCACGTTCTGGCCGGCCAGTGCACTCTACAGGAACAATGTAAATCAATGGCTTGGCGGGGAACACTTTGCTGAGTTGCTCAGGAGGCTCAATGTAGTGTCTGGCCCAATCAGAAGTGGTGAGGGGTCCTTAGGAGGCCTGAAGGACGTGTGCAGGTGTTCCCGTTGTTAATTGTAGGCTACCTAAACCCTGTTTAGTGCATTACCGATGATTACAAAATAAAGGTGGATATCTATGGCAACAGGCTTCTAAAGAAAAACCTTCCAGCTGCTGAATTTTCAGACCATGGTTATGTTTACAATGACCACAGACAAGCAGATCTGAAAAAAAAAAAACTTCAGTCCTCGTACTGCTGGCCATGCCCCCCCTTTCTTGAGCCATCCTTTTAAATGGTCCTTTGGGACCTGTCAGAGCCCTGTGGCAGATCTGCGCATACATGGGTGCACATATGCGGTGCGATTAGGAAGGTTCAATCTGCACGTGCACTAATTCTTTTGCACATAAAGGACACCTTCCTAATTGCATCCTGCTTGTAGGCATGTGGCTACTGTAGGTGGTGTTCAACCACAGTGGCATAGCAGCTGAAGAGGAAGTCAAGAGCAAACATGGTTCCACTAAGGTTTCCTGGGTCACTGGGTTGCCGATTGGATGCTGCCACCCCATGTGACTCTGGCAACCATCTTGGGTTAGGCAGAGCCTATTCAACCCTGGCTCTCAGGCTTGGTGAGCATTTTGCATGTGGGTAGTGTAGAGTCAGGTTGCCCGTCTGTCAGGAACAGTGATTAGCTGTAGTGATAGGTTCCAGACAAGTAGGGAGAGGATAGGGACACTCCATCCTTCCTGGAGACCTTCTCATTTGGGTACAAACTGGCCAGGCTGCATTTCACCCCTCAAAAGAGATGCTGTTGGCACATCCGAAAACTGCTCTGCTACACATTGCTATTGCATTCTGTGAGTGTTCCTGGTTGGGTGCCTTCCCACCAGGCTTGTTGTGAATTGTCGAACTTTAACTTTAATACAAGTTCTGTTTCTGCAACTGGAATCTAAGTGTTTATTGCCGCTGCACCACACTGCACCACCCAGCATGCTAGTGCATGTGCCCGGGTGAACCCGTGCATACGCAGATGCTTCAAAGGTCCCTGCCGGATATTGAAAGCCAGACAGAGACCTTCAGCACATCTGCACATTCATGGATCTGGTGTATTGTGATTCCCACTTGGGTGAGGAAGTACTGCCATGCAGCATAAAAAATAAATAAATAATTAATTAAAAAAATAAAATGTCTAGTCATGGGAGAAGGAAGGGGCTGGGCCGGATACAATGAACTAATTTTTTTGGGTGGTGATCGTCCACTTTAAAGCCAAAGTTTGGATATGGCAATATTTACATAGTTTCATGTTACATTGTCACAACAGGAAGATAACAAGCAGGGGCGGACTGACCATTTGGAAACTCAGGCACTGCCCAAGGGCCCGGGGTCAGTACGAGGCCCCATGAGAGATGCCCCTGGTACCTTTTTAATAGGCTTTTTTGAGTTTGGGCAAGGACGCAGGGGCCCCATGATCCCCTATTGCCCGAAGGCCCATGAGTTGTCAGTTCACCCTTGATAACAAGTATCCAACGTGTTTCAAGGGCCAACAACTGCCCTTCATCAGGGCTTAGAGCTAAAGTTTATACATGACAATTTTTACATACATTGTAGTTACAGTGGGGATCGAAAGTTTGGGCACCCCAGCTAAAAATTTGTATTAATGTGCATAAAGAAGCCAAGGAAAGATGGAAAAATCTCCAAAAGGCATCAAATTACAGATTAGACATTCTTATAATATGTCAACAAAAGTTAGATTTTAGTTCCATCATTTACACTTTCAAAATAACAGAAAACAAAAAAAATGGCGTCTGCAAAAGTGTGGGCACCCTGCAGAGTTAATATCTTGTACTGCCCCCTTTGGCAAGTATCACAGCTTGTAAACGCTTTTTGTAGCCAGCCAAGAGTCTTTCAATTCTTGTTTTGTAAGGAAGAATGGGCAAAGATACCTCAAAGTCTTCCAGTTCTTTGAAATTTCTGGGCTGTCTGTCACGCACTGCTCTTTTAAGGTCTATCCATAGATTTTCAATTATGTTGA